CAGTCAACCATCTTTTCATGGGCATATATCCATGAAGTATCATGCAAAGTGTCAAACTCCAGGAGCAAAGCATGATGTGGTTCAGAAATGTAATCAAATTGTATACTGGGTTTGTTATTTGATTCAAGTAGGGATGGCAATTCTCCCCGCTCCTCGTGGGGCTCCGCGGGGATCCCCATCATGGGGACGAGGCGGGGAGGAATATTCCTCCCCGCGGGGCGGGGATGGGGACCATTTTCTCCCCGCGAAATTTCGCGGGAAATTTTCCCCGCCCCGTGGGGCCCCGCGGGGATCCCCGTCCCATTAAAAAAAAAAAAGGTTTTTATTTTAAAATTAATTTATTCTTTAAACTCAAACCTAAACCTAAACCCAAACCCAAACCCAAATCCAATCCAATTACAATTAAACTTAACCCAATACTATCCAACCCAACCCAACTCCCAATCCAACCCACCCCATTCTCCTACATTTAACCCTAATCAATAAATCTAACCCAAACCCAAATATTGAGCCCAATAACCACTTTCACAAATTAACCCATTAAAACCCAAGCCCAAACCCAAAAAACCCTAGTTTTCCTTTCTCTTTAAAAGGGGGAGCCACTGTTGCTGCAAACGGCAAAAAAGGTTGCAGACGACAAAAAAAAAAAGAAAGAAAGAAAAAGCTAGATTCTTCTCCCATCCAGAACCCCTTTCTCAAATTTTTCCTCCGATCAATAGTTCCACCTACATCACCGGTCATCACCTGATTCTTCTCCCATCCAGAACCCCCTTTCTCCATTTTCTCCGATCGTGGGATCCCTCCTTCAGATCTGGATCTGCCTTTCTCCAAAATTTCCACCTTGGGTGTTTTTGTTTCATATTTTGCAATTTCTTGATGTTTGGTGCTTAAACTTGTATGAATTTGCTAAAAGTGAATGATATTTAATGATTCGTTGCTTGTTATCTGCTCTGCCGCTGGCCTACTGTCGGACCGGATCCATCTGCTTTGCTGCCGCTGGCCTGCTGTCGGATTGGATCCATCTGCTTTGCTGCCGCTGGCCTGCTGCCAGACCGGATCCATTTGCTTTGCTGCCGCTGGCCTGCTGCCGGATCGGATCCATCTGCTTTGCTGCCGCTAGACTGCTAGAGCGATTTGCTGCTGCTACAAAGCCATCTGCTGCCATTTGCTGCCATTGCTATTGCTACCGTTCCCCGTGGGGAATGGGGATCCCCGTGGGGATCGCCATTCCCCGCGGGGAACAGGGACAGGGGGCAAAATCTGCCCCCCGTAAAAAATCCCCGCGGGGATCCCCGGCCCCGCGGGGCCCCGTTGACATCCCTAGATTCAAGCAGCTTTTGCCATTTACATGGAATGGTATTATTAAAACCTTTGGTAGTCTCACTGTTGGAATTTCCAATCCA